GTGTGGGAGGTGGGAGAGGGGTCCCCAGGGAGGCAGGATAGGTCGGGGTGCATTCTGCGACAGGGGTGAGTCAGGAGAGTCGCCAAGGGGCCTCCAGGAGCCCCTGAAGGTAAGGTTTCGGAGTGGGGTGCAAGGGGGCAGGACTTCAAGATGAGAACCTGAAGATTGGGCCTCTAGGTGGCGTCTGACACTTTCCGGCAGTTGGGGGATCCGGGACGGGGGTGACAGGGGTGTTCGCTTGGAACCTGGAGGAAAGGAGGAAGTATAGAAGAATAACTAAGACCCTAGGCCTGATACTCGTTCAAGATCCTCCCCGGACGTCCAAATCCAGGCTCTGTCCCTGTGCAACCCCCAGGCATCAGTTTGCTTACTGTTTTCACCATGTGGAAGTTGTGCACGATGTTAATTAGATAATTCCCGTAAAGGCATATACAGGTCTTGGTACTTGGCAAGCATTTAAAAAACGTGAGGTGGGCTGAAGTTGTGGCTCAGGGGTAGAGTGCTCGCCTAGCATGTGTGAGGCCCTGGGTTTGATCCTCAGCACCACATAAAAATAAAGATATTGGGTCCAATTAAAAAATAAATATTAAAAAAAAAGTGAGGTACTGGTGATGGTGCCATTACTGCATGGAAATTATGATTACCTATTCATCGTCAGAGCCAATGAAACAAGTGAGATACAAATATTCTTTTCCCTATAGAAGTGCAAGCAGAGCTGGCCTGATGCTGGGGATGGTGCAGAGGGCATTCTTGTCTTACTGTGCCAGTGTCTGATTGACTCTTCCTGGTTCCCCTTATAGCCATGGTTAGTTGATCCTGCTCCTTTGCACTGACTGCCCCAGGCATTGTGAAAGGAACCTCAGACTTAAGAGGTTGGGTTTCTGCCTCCGGAAACAGTCTGCAGGGCCCCCTGATGTCCTTAATCTCATACTCCATCTGATACAAGAACTAGAGGTCTGAAGACTGTGGTTAGAGCCCATTTGGGAACTTAGGCAAATCATTTGAACTACTTTAAAACTCTCTAAATGGCTTAGTTACCTTAATTACCTATAGATCCTGGGTTGTTGAGCAGCCTAACAATAGAAGATTGAGAAATGTTTACAGAAACCTTTATGGCCTTAAGGCAGTGTGTTTCAGTGTTTAATGGGTGATTGCTAAGGATGCATCTCCTGGAGGCTTCCCCAAAGATTGCAAAGGTCTGAAGTGGACCAAGGAACCTGCAGGTTATCCTGGACCACACCTGACAAAGTGCAGAATGTTGGCTGTTAAGGGAATATCTTTTTGGCCTTCATTCACAATCAGATACTAATTGTTGAATAGCCCTAATGCAGTAGTTACAGTACCAGGTGAGAAACAATAGGTATAGGCCTGCCCCCATGTAGCTTTACAGGAACCATTATTCTTCCATGAATTTCTCAGGATGTCTGTGATGTTTGGGGAACAAACACAGGCCAGAGGTGGGGGCTCTGATATGGAATGGCAGGAAAAAAACAGGCTTTGAAATTGAGGAAACCAGGATTTGAGTCACCATCTTCCATGTTCTGAGTGACCTTGAGCAAGCCATTTATCCTCTAACTCATCTGTAATATGGGGGCATGTTCATCTCGGCCAGATGGTAAGGTCCAACGAAGTGGCATACGCCTGGCTCCCAGAACCTCCAGGCACAGCCTGAGTGCTTAGTATCTGGGAGTTTCCTTCCTTCTCTTTGGGTGGAGGGCACAGCTGCTGAGCCTCATGCCTAATTGTGAACGTGGCTGACCGTGTTTCTTCTTCCTCTCCAGATGGTATCTGCGGATGCTGCAGTGTTATCGATGCAGGCAGTGGTTCCACGAGGCCTGCACACAATGCCTCAATGAGCCTATGATGTTTGGAGACAGGTAAGTTAGTGCTATTTTGGTCCAGCTGGGCCTTCAGACTGGCAGCTCCTTAGGATTGCCTGCTAGGCCCATACAGGGGGGTCTATGATAACATGTACCCATCCACAGGAGGCCGCTCAGGGTAAAGGAGACACAGCTATGCTGTGCTGCATTCCTAATTGCCATGGATTTGTGAGCACTTCAGGCACATCTTTACCTTCCCTAAGCACCAGTCTCTTCAAGTGTCTGGGGAGGGAATGGTGACACAGTCCCTGCCCCAGTCCTGCCCCAGTCCTGCCCAGAGAAGTTGTAGAAACCACCAAAAGAAATGGATGCCTTCTAAGCAATAGGGCTAAGCTAATGGAAGGTGCTACATGTCAAACCAGATATTATGTGTTTTTTGTGTCATTTGTCATTGTGTGTGTATTAGGGGAGGAGGGTAACCATGACAGTCCAGCATAGCTCAGGTCACTCTCTTATGAACCTCAAGGCACTCCAGGGCAGTGGTATTTGGGAAGGGGACTGAATGTACAGGAGTATTCCTTGATCCTGTCCAGACTTGTCCTTAGCCCTCCAACCCCCCAGAGGCCACCTGTCCCAGGAATGAAAGTCTGACTATGAGGAGGCAGGTGGGGGGAGCTGGCCTAGGGTGGGATGTCAGAGCCCCACCCACCACAAATGCTTTCCCATATTCCTGAAGAATCTTCGTGAACCCACCACAGGTCCCCTTTCCACCCATCCACAGGTTCTACCTGTTCTTCTGCTCCGTGTGTAACCAGGGCCCAGAGTACATCGAGAGGCTGCCCCTGCGATGGTGAGAGGGTGGGGCTTGGTTCAAATTCACCCCTGCCAGCTCCTCCATTATCTCCTCCCTGGGGGTTGCCCCGCCCCTTACCTGGCCCCACCCCTTGCCCTCTTGCTCAGGGTGGATGTGGTTCACCTGGCCCTCTACAACCTTGGGGTGCAGAGCAAGAAGAAGTACTTTGACTTTGAGGAGATTCTGGCTTTTGTCAACCACCACTGGGAGCTCCTGCAGCTTGGCAAGGTACTCAGGGCAGTGGGCTGTCAGAGTGGCAGAGACAGAGATGTCTCTATAGGGCTGTGCCTTGAGGACTAGGGTCTTGAGCTCTTACTTTGCATCCTGAGTCCAGGCCTCTGGTCTCTGATTTTGGCAGTGGGCATATGGGGACTCACCAACTCAGCCTCTGGAAGCTGGGGCCCTGGATCAAATCTGGCCAGAGCAGGTTCTCTGCTGAGGTGTCCGGCCCACTTCAGATTTCTTAGCTAAGATGAAAAGTAGAGTAGGCCTGTCCCTGCTCATGCTGTTCTGAACAATGGGTCACCAGGGGCCTGGGCACCTCTGAACCATGAGTTAGTTGAAGTAACAAATGTAGACTTTAGAGTGTCAGAGCTGGAGAACAGCCTGCCTAAGGTCAGCCACCTGAGCCAAGGCTGGGATCAGGACCTTCCTAGCCACTTCTGGAGTGGGGATGAGCCCCTTTGTCCCTAATGACACTCAGAATCCTTGCTACTACATGCAAGTGAGCCTGCTTCTTTACTGATTGCCCCAAGCTCTTCTTTGATGAGACAAGGATTTTTTTAAAAATATTTTTTAGTTGTTAATGGACCTTTATTTTATTTATTTATATGCAGTGCTGAGAATCAAACCCAGTGCCTCAAGCATGCTAGGCAAGCACTGTACCACTGAGCCACAACCCTAGCCCCAATTTTTTTCTTAAGTAGCCTACATGCTTTGCAAAAAGAAAAAGAAAAAAATTTTTTTGTACCAGGGATTGAATCCAGGGCTGCTTAACTACTGAGCCACATCCTCAGCCCCTGCAAAAAAAATTTTCACATGAAATCTTCATTTATAGTGTTGGATAATTTATAAGATATACATATTATAAAGCCTTAAACTGTTTTTTTTTTTACTTTTTCCTGATTTACAAAAAAATCATACTTATTACTGGTAGAAAATTTTTAAGTTACCAAGAAACATAAGGAAGTGTACTTTTTAAAAAATCCACATTCGCATATCACACTACCCAGAAATAACTAGAGATAATGCATAGGTACATTTCCTTTGAGCCTCTCTTCTATGCTTGTTTTTTTTTTATTTTTACATGATTTGGATAATACAGTATGTATATATAATTTTAATTTATCTTTTTTCAGTTTGTCATAATTTAAATGCTTTCCAATATTCCTGAAGAATCTTCGTGAACATGTTTTTCTTTTTGTCATGAACATTTTTAATGGCAGCATTGGTTTCTACCGTAGTTCACTGGTTTCCTTCCTGTTGGGCATGTGGTTTTTTTCCCTCCTCTCCACCATTAGAAACATGCCATTGGGACCATTTTTGTATGTGGAGTTTTATTTGAGTCCCGTGTCCTATCTGTACCATAGATCCCCTGGGAGAGCATTACTGGGTCAAAGTATGTATCTTTTAAAGATCTTAATAGATTTAGGCCAGGAGTTTTTCTCTCCATTTTCCCCTGAGAGAGGGGAAAGGCTTGTCTGAGATTTCATGGATCAGTGTCCTCACCTGAAGGACTCAAAGGCATCAGGAAGGAGATGGACAGGCAGGGGACAGGGTGGGGCCTCCTAAGACGCCAGGTGCCTGAGTCTGACTGTCTCACTGGCCTGCTCCCCCAGCTCACCAGCACCCCTGTGACGGATCGAGGACCGCATCTCCTCAATGCTCTGAACAGTTACAAAAGCCGGTGCGTGCAGCATGGGAGGGAGTACTGTGGGCAGCCCCAGCAGGTGGGATCTCAAGCTAAGGGCTCTTCCTACCTGTCTGGGTCTCCCTCTCCTTCTTTACCTATACCCTTCCCATCCTTCATGACTCAGGGAACAAAGGATCCTGGGACCTTCTTTTGCAAAGTTTCTCCTGAGCACCCAGCAGCCTTACTCAGTTTGGGACTGGGCGCAGCTCCATAGGGGGATGTGCTCCTGCTCTCTGAGGGTCCCTCCTGCCTGAGCTAGCTGGGGTTCTGGGTCCCTCAGCGCATCAAGTCAGCATATTCCATGTGTGTCATAGCCTTCTAACCTGTCCCCAGCCAGTGTCTTCCCATTCTAAGTTGAGCACACATAGCTGGCCACATCCTTCACCACACAGGGGATGCCTGGGCTCCCCGTTCCAGCATTCAAGGACTCTTTTGATCAGGCCCTGCCTGCAAATCTTCCACTGTCTCTTTGATTTTTTGTCTTGGTGCCAGCCCCACTGAGCCCTTGCTCCCCACCCAGGGCTTTTGCTCATCATCTTCCCTCAGCCTAGGATGCTCTTCCTTCCCTTCTATTCATTTGTTCCATCAGCAAGTATTTATCAGCTGCTGCTCTGTCAGGCCCTGTCTAGGTGCTGGGGGAAAAGACAAGTCCCTGTTTCTACAAAAGCTTCCAGATGCCTCTAGAAGGACTCACCTTCACATTCAATAGATTGGGACCCAGGCACAGTCTACTCCTCAGTACAAGGCCTTGTGCCTCCCAGTAGAGAGTCCCCAAGAACAGGCCTGGGTGTGAACTGCCTCTGCAGCTCAGGGCCATGCAGCCAGTGTTAGAAGGAAGGAAGTGCCTGGGGGTGCTTCCAGCTTCTGGGGGAGTTCAGATGACAGCATGGGTTGGAATCAGTGTCTTGACCATGGGAGTCCCTCTGTGAGCTGAAGGTGTCCTTGCAGCTGGTGGAGGCAGAGAAGAAAAGGGAGAGGAACAGCAAGAAACCCCACATGTACTGGAGGAAAGGTATGGAGGAGCCACCAGCCACATCCTCAGCTAGGACCCACTTAGTCCCTAGGGGCCACTCTGGATTTTAGGTCTGGGTCCAGAGAGGCAGACAACCTTGTTTAATGTCTACCAACACTCCCCAGGAGGATGGACTGAATCTGGGTCTTCTCCCCTGCCCATGCCCAGGTTCCTCTGCGGCAAAGAGATCAAGAAGAAGAAGTGCATCTTCCGCCTGCGCATCCGTGTCCCCCCCAACCCACCGGGGAAGCTGCTGCCTGACAAGGGTCTGGTGCCAAATGAAAACGGCGCCTCCTCTAGCTCCTCTGAGCTGCGTAAGAGAGGAAAGAGCAAGCCTGGGTCAGTGCTTGGGGACCTAGGGGTTAGGGCTGCAGCCCCAGTTGGTTTCTCTGCTCCCAGCTCCCAGGACAATGGGCCATGCCTGGGATCTGAGAGCATGGTGACATTTGCATAAACCAAGAGCCCCCACAGCTAGTCCAGCATAGGTTCCCCGAGAGAGCTAGTCAGTGGCTCCCAGGCTCCTTCTGCAGCCCCCTTATTGCCTCTCAGGAAAAGCCAGATCATAGGCCCCAGCCCTAAGGGGAAGAGAAAGGGAAATTGGGTGTGGACGTGCCCTTGCCCTCGGCTGAGCTGAGCCCCCTCCTGGGTGTTGGGGGCAGGGTACCTGGACACACATGCCCAGAGAGGCACCTTTTCTTTTTCTACCCACGATAACCCTCCTGCATCTCCTGCCCCAAAGCAAGTGCACTCCTCCCCAGACTCCTTCTGAAGGTGCTGCCATCCACCCTCATTCAAGTCCATCCCTACCCCAGCTACCGGCCCCTGCCCCTGTGCTCCTGAGGCTCCTTCCTCTGGGGCCCCCTCTGGCCCTCAGGCTCTGACTGAGCCACCCTCTCCCTTTTCTGTCTCCACAGTTTGTTGCCTCACGAATTCCAGCAGCAGAAAAGGCGAGTTTATAGAAGAAAAAGATCAAAGTTTTTGCTGGAAGATGCTATTCCCAGTGTTAGTTCCTTGTTTTCTCATCCTCCACTTTCACATGCAGGACCGCCACCATATTAGGGATTCCTGTGCAGAAAATGAAGTCCCCCAAGCCCAGGGAACTCTCCCATGTCCCATTTCCTATTTAGCAAAACAAGGAAAAGTTAGGTGCTCCAGTACCTCTCCCTTGCCTCCCCAAGTTCTCCCAGGAACCCAGGGGCAGTAGTATCCTTGTCCCCTTTGTCAAGTGGGGAAACAAAGACAGGGTTGAGCAATAATAACTTTCCTGAGGTCACACATCAGCCTGGAACCAGGGCTCCAGGGCATTTGTTTTTCTTTGGCACCCTCACTGAAGCCCTCTCTGTGGGCAGTGATACTAACAATGCCTCATCTCCCCAGCACTTTACAGTTTACAGGCATTACTTAGTGCCTTTGATAGCCATTATTTAATTTTCTGGGCATCCTGACACCTTTTAAGAGGGAAACAGGGCAGGGTTTCTTGCCCCCATTTTGCAGTTGAGATGACTAAGGCCAGAGGGGTCAGCATTATCCAGCTGGCTGGAGACAAAGCCAGGACTAGAATCAGGGTGACTTGGCTCTCTGGTCAGGACTTGGAATAAAGAGGAAGTGGCAGGCCTTACCCTAGGGAGGCCCAGCACTTGGCAGCTCTGGCTGGTGTGGCCCTCAGCTGGGGCAAAAGGTGCTTGAGGAAGGTGGATTTGATACCCGCTGACTGACCCATCGTCTCTTCTTCCTGTGTCCACAGAGTGACTTCACCTCGGCCTGGAGCACCAACCACCACCTGGCTAGCATATTTGACTTCACGCTGGATGAAATTCAGAGTTTAAAAAGGTATCAGTGAGGGGCCCAGCAGAAAGGTCTGCTTTGGAGGCTGGGACAGAAAAGGTGTGGAGGCTCCCTGCATCCGCACAGCCAGGCAGGAGGCTCTGGAAGGGGGAAAGGCAGAAAGTATTCTGAGGTTAAAGGGTCCCTGTGGCATGGGGCTGCCTAGAGGGCCTTTACCAGCTTTCAGCATGGCACCCCCATGGCACTGAGGCTGCCTTGCTGTGCCCCCCGCTCCCCAACCTCTTCCTGCCCACCACCTTACACCAATTTCTGTGGTTATCCCACACTGTGGTTTAACACCTCCTTGCCTTCACTCATGCTGCTCCCTCTGCCTGGGAGGCCCTTTGCCCTGCCCACCCCATCCCATCTGAAAACCCAGGACCTGGCTCCTTCCAAGGAGCCTACACAGATCCTCCCAGGCTGTGTTGGATACCTTTCTGTGTGTGCTTGGGTACACTCAAGGGGAGGGTCTACATCTTTTGACATCTGATTTCCAAAATCACTAGAAGTCATTCAGTGTTTACCTAAAGCCATGGAGGAAAGAGTTGGGGATTGAGCCAGGCTGAGCTCCAGACCCTGTTTACCAGTACTATGTGGCATCAGCTAAATTTCTTAACCTCTTTGAACCTCCTGATGTTTTCTTTCAACAAGATACTGAAAATGGAAACACTGATCTGTAAAGTCGCACAAGTGCCTCACGGTTCATTAAGTATCACTATCTGTGCTTCTGTCACATTTATTTACAAGCCTAGTGGAGAGGAAGGTGGTCAGGGAAGGCTCTCCTGCCTCCTGGACTTTGAAGGGGGATAGGCGGGAAATTGGCAGGTGTGGTGGTGGGAAGCTCAGCAATGGAAAGATGGGCCTCCACTGGGAATGAAGGATGCATGCCAGAGAGGCAGAGAAAAGCTGGAGAGACAGGGTCCCCCAGGGCCCCCAGGAGCCAGGTCAGCAAGACTTTGCTCGGCTGGACCAATGGCAGGCTCACCCTTGCCCCCTCTCTCAGTGCCAGCTCAGGCCAGACCTTTTTCTCAGACGTGGACTCCACGGACGCTGCCAGCACCTCGGGTTCTGCATCTACCAGCCTCTCCTATGACTCCAGGTGAGCTCCCAGAGGTCAGCCCTGACCTCAAGCTTCACAAGAATCGTTGTTCTTCCCAGGCTGCCACCTCCCACTTCTACTTTTGTGGGGCTTAATTTGCATACCTGAGCCCCCGGCTGGAGGACCTGGCCTTCTGCAATTCTAAGAGTCTGGCCCTGGGACCCTCCAGTTCCGAGTCCCTGGGGTTCAGGTGGGATAAGGACAGGCATCCAGGATGCTGGGGCCACATCCCTTTGGAATGCTCTTCACCTGCTGCAGAACAATGTGACATCTCTGGCTGGCTGGTTCCAATCTGGGGTTGTCTTTTATTAGGGGTTCCTGGCTTCTGTGTGCCGTAATTTTGCAGGCCCGTGCTTCTCAGGCTGTGGGGTCCCTAACCCTGGTTTCTGGCTGTCTGAGTTCCAGGGCCTCTAAGGGAAGAGCATGTGTAGGGAAGCCTGGTAGAGGGAGGATGGCATCCTGTGGACTGCAGGGTCTGGTGGAGGACAAATTCCAGGGGGCCCAAGTTGAAGGGCTGGCCCACTTGGCAAGAGCCGGTGGTCAGCAGCACAGGGAGGGTTGTCTGCAAAGGAGAAGGATTTCTTCTGGAATCAGGCTCCTTTATTTTAGGACATGTGAAGCCCTTGCAAAAGTAGAATTAAAAGTATAACACTTGTAGACCTGTGTCCTGAAGTCTTAGTCTGCAGAAGTCTCTCATGTGTCTTTTTCTAATGTTGCCTCTGGTTTTTTGTTTGTTGGTTGGTTGGTTCTGGGGATGGAACCCAGGACCTCACACAAGCTAGGCAAGTGCTCTACCACTGAGCTACACCCAGCCCTATATTTGGTTTCTTCCTGTTTCTTTGGTTTTCACTAGTGCTTTGGGTCTTGGCTTCCATTTCTAAGCATCTGTGGATGTGAATCTAATCTTGTGTCCCTTCTCTAACACATCTGCCTGTGTAGTACAAGGTCTGTCCTTCAGTCCTTGACCCTGTCCTCATCCCTATTTGGCTCAGCTAGCTCCACATGAGTGCAGGTGACAGACGAGCAGCATACACAAGGCCTCTATGCTGCATGACCTCAGGGGGCGCAGAGAAGAGTTGTCTGTACTCTAGCAGTTCTGGTTCTGGCACCAAAGAGCCTGGGCTTTAGAGCTGGACAGACCTAGGTTGGAACCCTGGCTCTGCCACTCCCCAGCTGGCTGCTTCTCCCCTGGAGCTTCAGTTTCCCTCTTATGGGGTTACTGCAAGGACCCGTGAGATAATCCATGCCCCGGGCCAGGCACAGTGCCTGGTACCCAGGAGACTGCTGGGAGCAAGGGATTTGTCACAGTCATCCCATCTCATTCCCATCATCTTCCTCTCTCCACTCCTGCTGTAGACGGACAGTAGGCAGCCGCAAGAGGAAGCTGGCAGCCAAGGCATATATGCCGCTGCGGGCCAAGCGGCGGGCGGCTGAGCTGGGTGGACGCTGCCCCTCAGACAGCAGTGCGGAGGGGACTTTGGGCCCCGAGCGGCCAGACGAAGGCATCGATAGCCACACATTTGAGAGCATCAGTGAAGACGACTCATCCTTGTCACACCTCAAGTCATCTATCACCACCTACTTTGGCGCAGCAGGGCGGTTGGCCTGTGGGGAGAAGTACCAGGTGTTGGCTCGGAGGGTCACACCAGAGGGCAAGGTTCAGTACCTGGTGGAATGGGAAGGGACCACCCCTTACTGACTACCCCACGGGGGCTGCAGGGAGCCCTGAAAACCAGAGGGACAGCCGAGGGCACAGGTTTCCCTGTTTCTTCCAGGTTGGGTGGGGGAGGAAGCAGCACAATGGCAAGGGCCTGGAGAGGCCTTGCCCAGCTGCCCAGCAGGCCAAGCTGAGCCTGCACCACTGCTGTGCCAGCTCTGCTCTGCTCTGCTCTGCTCTTGGTCCATGGCCTCCCTAAGGTCCCACTGGCTCTTTTTAGTGTCTTCACACTCCATACCCCTCACACTGTTTATTGGTTCTTCCTGAGTTTGTGTCCACCCCTATCCCACCCCCCACCCGGCTCTGTGACTCTAACTCTTGAGGCCCAAATCTTTCTCTGTCCCCATTACTTTGTCCCTTCACCTCTCACTGCTTTCTGGTGTGTGTTCACACATCCTCCATGTGCACATCTGTCCCTCCACTGGATATCCTTTACACCTGACCCATGGGGGCTGCTCCTCCCTAGGACCACATTGAGATCGGGAACCTCTGAAGGAGAACAGGTCAGCGGGGGCTTCTCTCCCCCGCCCCCTTTTCCTTCCACTTCTACCCCCTGGAAAGGGGGTGGTGTGAGAGGACTCTGGGAAAGTCTGTGTGGCAGAGATGCTGGGATTCAGCACCTAGCGAGCAAAGAACCGGGTCTCCGCAGCAGAAGGCACCAGCCTCTGGGCCCCCTTATTAAGGCTGAGTGTGAAGGCTGCTGGCCTCAGTTCTGAAGGTCCAAGAAGTTTGTCTGTGCCAAGCCTCACACCACTTAGCTGCCACAGAGCTGGGCCTCGCCTTCCTAGAATGGAGACATCCACGAAAACCAGGGAGACTGGGGGAAGCGGTGGAAAGGGAGCCACCACCCACTGCCAAACCACACCCATGCTCTTGCCCAGAAGCTTTCATGTGTGTGCCTTTACACACCAGGCTCACACATCTCCCAGCATCCACACACAGCCACATGGCTTGTCGGGGCAGCCTGGCTCCTTCTTTTGGCTTCCTCTTTGTCCCTTCCAGGGGCACAGGCTGCAGGTGAATGTGAAGGTCCAGCTCCTGCCCACTTCCTCCAACATATGGACTAGCTTTGGCCCCATGAGGTCAAAGCACAGAAGGCTCCTACTCTCCCCCAGCTCCCCAGCCCTGCTCTAAAATTGATCGTCACTTTTGGAGTTAGGTCGGGATTTTTCAATTATCTGTTTCATTAAGCCCCCTCAAAGGGATGTGTTTGTCATTTGGGCTTGAAATAGAATTCTTAGAACAGACATTCAGATTCAGCCCCATCTGGAGGGAAACCAAAATTGAGAGGGGGCCAGGACCCCTCATTTTTGCTGCTTCCAGAGATATTAGAAACTGACTCACTTGATTGGAAATGGGAAGAAGTGCCTTGACTGAGGGGGTTGGGCACCAGGTTGGGACCAGCCTTGGCTGGATTTGCAGGTCACCAGCTGGAAGGCGAAGATGGGAAGAATGAGGCAACAGGCCCAAGGAGCCAGATTTCCCGAGATTATGCCAAACTCCTCCCCACCATGAGCACTCAGCCCTGGGATAGGCTAGATGGCCCTGCCTTAAACCTCAGCTCCTATAGTGCCCTTCAAAGGAACTTCACCTCAGCCCCTGCACATAGCCTGCCCACTTCCCTCTCTTTCCCCTACATGGCTCAGGCAGGGATAAGCAGGTTCTGGGCCCAGTTCTTAGCCCCACAGCTGCTGCCACTGAGGCACCCAGGGAAGGGGAGTTGAGAAGCCAGCCCCAGCCCAGTAAGGGTGTGGGACCTGGGATTCAAACTGGCTTCCTGCCGGCCTCAGCACAGCAACCTCGAGGTCTGACTTCCAGGTTCTGAGAAAGCCAGGATGAACAAGGCCTGCCCTTCCCACTTAGGTTGGGAGAGGCTCAAGAGCAGGGCAAAAGAACCTTTCCCACTGGGAAGACAGCACAAGGCCTAACGAGGTCACTGACCCTATACCCCAGCTTTTCATTCATACCACATAATAGCTGCATTACTGCCAACTCACCTTATAACCCTGTGCACCTTCTAAGAGATACATGGTTTTGAATTGCTGCTTTTAATAACATTTTGTTATATTAAATTTATAATTAATGTGTCTGGTTTACAATGTAAAAGTTCCCTTTGAGAATTATCTCTACTGAGTGGTGAACTGCCAGCTGCTGAACACAGAAGAACTGATTCTGGCTTCTGCAGTTGGCTTCCTGCAGCTTAGAGGAAGATGGCAGGACCCCATCCTGTGGCCACCTTACCACTCCCTATAACATTCAGTAATGCTCCCACCCTTATTGAGAGAGAAAATGTAGGGCCTTTTATCTGCTGAGTACATGACCCATAAGGATACAACCAGCTGAAGGCTGCAGGTAAAAGATAAAACATGAACTTAGATATTGAACCTGCTAAAATGCCTAAGTGCAGACACTGCAAACATTGCTCAGCACACATAGGCACACACTTCTAGAAACTGAGTTCCAGAACCCAGCTCTGATGGTTTCAAACAGTAGCACTAATCAGATTCCATTTTCTCACCCTTCAAATTCCAGCAATAATTGCCACAGCACCTGGCTCCCCAAGGTTGGGAAGGGACCCTTCACATATATGACAATATTATTTCAAAATAAATCTCTTTGGTATTGTTTAGACAGAGAAAAAAATGTGAAGGTGTAGGGAGAAGGTTGGTTTCAGGGAGATGACACCCATAAATTCACCTGGTTCCAGGTGGAAGTGTGCCCTGTTAATCCTGAGCGGAGGGCTGTACTAACAACTCCTACCCTATGTCTTCGGTACTGCTCCTTTGGCTTCCACCCTTTAGCTGTCCTGGAAATAAAGCCACAGTGGGAGCCAGGGGAGGGGGTGGTTTCTTCTGTGAGCAGCTATCTAGATGCACCTGAGACCTGTGGGCCTCTTGGGTTGGAGGGTACCTGCTTCTCTGTGGTCTAGGGCAGTGTTTCCCAATTCACAGCATTTACCTTTGGAATTCAGGAATGAGAGAATTTCTAGAAATTCCAAATCCTAAATGTTTTTAAGATACTTCACTCTTCATACTCCTCTCAGTATCTGACAAAATTTTGTCTAGTAGGCATATTAAGCTTAGTACTATTTTAAAAGGACTAGCCTGTAGGGAAAATTAAATGCTGGAGCATCTGTTAGAAACTATCCAAATAATGTGACATTTGAATATCCTAGAAAGGTTAACAGCACTTAAAATCAATCACATGTTCAAATAACTAAAGAATTTATTTTGTATCTAAAGTTTATTTTTTGGAGCACCACTCACAGGATTTGTATAATATATACTATGTGTACAAAATTATTTTATTTACAAGAAAAACTCCCTGATAGCAGCAGACAGGACCAGACATACACACTTCTAACATGGCAACAACCAAAAAGCAAGATCAACTAATTCGATGGCGACAGTTTCCCTCTCACAAGCCAGGCCTGGGCTCTCTCTTCAGTTCAGCATGTTAGTGTTTCCTGCTCTTGTTTTTTGCTCAATTAAGGTGGATTCTTTCTTTCTTTTTTTTTTTTAAAGAAAGAATGAGAGAGAAAGAGAGAATTTTTAAAATATTTATTGTTTTTAGTTTTCGGTGGACACAACATCTTTCTTTGTATGTGGTGCTGAGAATCGAACACGGGCTGCACGCATGCCAGGCGAGCACGCTACCGCTTGAGCCACATCCCCAGCCCCAAGGTGGATTCTTTCAAATCAGTAATCTTTCCATACTAATAAGCTTTAGTATTCACAGGGTAATTATGATACTTTCCCTCATTTCCTCAATTGATTTTTCTAGGGATTCTGGATTAAAAAAAAAAAATGTTATCTAAGAAATTCTGGAAAGGAGTTCCCATACGGAGACTCTGGTCTAGGACCCAGCTCTGGCTTCTACAGCATCGTTCTGGGAGGGTGGTGTGGGATGGCAGCCACACTATGTAGACTGGAGTTACACAGACCCTAAACATCACTGGACACCTCTACTCCTTCATCTATGGAATGGGTCATGAGCCGCCAGGGCTGTGGTAAGGAGTACACAGTGAAATACATGCCCAAAGGCCAGGCCAACTGGCTTCTATGTTTTAAGAACTAATAAGTGCCGGGTGCGGTGATGCACGCCTATGATCCAGCAACTTGGGGGACTGAGGCAAGAGGATCCCAAGCTCCAGGCAAGTCTCAGCAACTCAGTGAGACTGTCTCAAAAAATGAAAAGGGTTAGGGGTATAGCTCAGTGGTAAAGTGCACCTGGGTTCAATCCCCAGTACCAAACCAAACAAAAATAACTCTTCCTTCAGAGCTGGCTATAGCAAGTTCTCTGAGCCTTTAACGGGATCTATTCAGCCTCCTTCGATGTAAAGTAAAAGCTTTAAATTTTGAATCAGAGATTGAGTTCACATGTAAGTGCTACTTTCTGATCTCAGATTTCATCTGCAAAATGAGGGTAACAAATAAGAACAACTGAAATATAGTATAAGAATATATACTATATATATATTATAAGATAATGTTAAGAAGCTAGGGCAGTACATAGTGGACAGAGCTGCTATTTAGTGAATGTCCCTCTCCCCTCCAGTATCCTACATAGTCAACTTTGGACACTGAGACAAAGGCAGGCTACCAAGCAAGTTTTCTGCAATATAACACAAAAGATGATTCAATAAAGACAACAGATAGAAAAATCTTTGTAATTGTCCCACTTTAAGAAATTCAAAGAAAAGTTGAATTTTGCCAATTCAACAACTTAATAGTGAGTATGTACAGTAGAGAAAGCTTTGATCATTTAAATCCTTGAAACATCAGCCTCAAAAATATCTGCCAAACCCTGTGCAAGAGGTCAAGTAGATTCAGTTGTGCCCCTGACCTCCAGCAACTCACAATCCTGTGATACAAGGCCAACTTTGATGCAGAAGATAAAGGGAACACCAAGGCAGGATAGAGTCCTTACAGCTGGCAAGGCCTCAGAAAGGTCTTACAAAGGAGCAGTCACATGTCATAGGCATTGTCATAGGCATTTAGGCAGAGGGCATTCCAGACAGAGGGGATAGCATGAACACAGGAATAACATCAACAGCACAGTGAGTCATCTGTTAGCCAGAGTAGGAAAGGAGAGGTCAAGGGGGATGATGGAAAAGGTGAGTAAAGATTGTGAAGGGCTCGAAGGCCAGACCTAGAAATTGGACTTTATCCTAAAAGCAATAGAGTCAGTCCATTTGGGGTCCTCAGTACATTTTTAAGTAGGGTTTACTTTACACAAGATTTGCCTAAGTATCAGAAGCTGATCTGCTGTTAAAAAGAAAAGAAAAAATCAACAAGGGACATCATCATTAGCTCTATTCCTCTTTTCAGGCAGCCCCTGAAATTACCACTGGCATCCTCTGGACCTTTAGAAGTAAGCTAGAATAGGAGGGGGTCCAACACTCCCCAGAGGGTGTTATTCCATTTTTCTGTGCTTTTCTGTGTTTCTTTTAGGCATAAATTGTTTTTGCAAATAGCCAGACCTAAAAGTCACTAAATTCCCTCAAAGCTCACTGAGGGAGTTTCCTGCAGCCTGTACAGGGCAGCAGTTGTGAGCACCTCTGCCACCTTTTTGGAGCCAAGAGCAAATGTACCCATTGCACAGGGGCACACAGCCACATCAAACCCAAACCTTGATGCTGAGAGCAGAAAACAGACAAGATGTGTGCTGAAGTCCTAAGCTGTGTGCAGTACCCACCAGGGCTTCCACACCAGCCACCAGAGACTATATTAGTCACTTCCACATGGTGCCATTCTGGAAACCCTGTCCCATGTGCTGTCTCCTTTGTGCTTGGGCATAAACTCTAATAAAACCTTGTTTAAGGGGCTGGGGTTGTGGCTCAGCAGTAGCGCACTTGCCTGGCATATGTGAGGCACTGGGTTTGATTCTCAGCACCACATATAAATAAATTAAAGGGCTACCAACAACTAAAACAATATTTAAAAAAAAAAAAGAGGGCTGGGGATGTGGCTCAAGTGGTAGCGCGCTCGCCTGGTATGCGTGCGGCCCAGGTTCAATCCTTAGCACCACATACAAACGAAGATGTTGTGTCTGCCAAGAACTGAAAAATAAATATTAAAAAAATTTCTCTCTCTCTCTCTCTTTAAATAAAATAAAATAAAAAGAAAGTGAAAATTACATGGTTCTTTGGAAATTTCTTTGTTCAATACAGAGTTAAGTATAGCTTCACTTTCTTTAAAAACAAAAAAACAAACAAACAAAAAACTTGTTTCAGTGATGTTGCTTCCCTCATCAAGATTTGTATCTCAAATTGAGCAAAAGAACTTTGCAGTCTCAAAAAAAAAAAAAAAAAACCAAAAAACTTTGCAGTCTCTACAATGTCTTCATGGCTGGGCCTTTGAGATCCTCCCCATTTGATATCTGGAGGACTCTAGGGTAGAAGCAGCACAGCAGGTTTCAGAATGAGGGCCTGACACTACTCAGCTCACACACCCTCTTTCTAGGAGAGACCAGGATACCACATCTGTCTTTCAGTTCCCATCCAAACCACCCATGTTCTCCTCAGAATGGAGCTACTTTGTGACAGATTCATGAAGGAGGCTGGAGCCATCTCTCTGGAGCTCACCACCTAGGGCTCAGCATCCCTTGCTCTCTTCCACCAGAGACTCATGGAGCAGGCCCAGGAGAGTCCCAAACACAGCTGAGCAGTCATGGTTGTACTATGTGGAACTCAGCATACCACCCCTTTTCTGGATCTCCATGAAGTTCAGTTTTCTTGAGTAATCTATAAAATGGAGACTGGTTTAAGAGTAGTGATTTAAAATTTGTCAATAAGGAAAATTTTCAAAACACTCCAAATCTTACAAGGGAACTTACCCCAAAGTGAAGGCACAATTGCACTGGTAGGAGTATGGGTATGTGTGTGGGTTGGGGGGATCTTATGCCCTTACTACCAGTCAGGAATCCAGGTTACTAAAGCTTTATACAGCAAATATGAAAAAATATCAGTCTAGAAGGTTCCCAGGGTTCCATTTCTATACTTAGAACCTGTTATGATTTAGATATGAGGTATCCTCCAAAAGCTCATGTGTGAGACAATGCAAGAAAGCTTAGAGGTGAGATGATTGGGTTATGAGAGCCTTAACCTAATCAGTATATTAATCCACTTGAATGGATTAACTGAGTTGTGACTAGAAGTGGGTAGGGTATAGTTGAAGGAGTTTATATTTTGTTCCTGGTGAGTGAGAGTCTCTCTCTGCTTCCTAGTGCTATGTCCTGAGCTGCCTTGATGTTCTACCTTACCTCAGGCCCATGAACAATGGAGTTGGTCATCGATGAACTGAGACCTCTGAAACCGTGAGTGCCAAATAAACTTTTCCTCCTCTAAAATTGTTCTTATTAGGTATTTTGATACAATGACAAAAAAGCTGACTGGAACAGAACCTCTTCACTGAGCAAGGCACAGAACCTTCTGATGTCTGTCATATTCAGCCTAGGAAGGAGTCAAAACTTATTGCAACCCATGAAGCAGTGTCTAAGCACTAATGTTCCCCTAGTCACACACATACTCCCAGACTCGCCTCTTCAAGACTCAGGAACAATAAAAATCTCTAACTAGGAGCAATAATCCTGCTGATCCCTGAAATTCCACCATTATAATGCATCCTTTTGAACAGAGTACTTGAGTACTTTCCAGTTGCTCTAGAATGAGGCACACACTTCCAGGTGAACAAGGTCATTGGCACACACTTCCAGGTGAACAAGGTCATTGTCTTCCACAGGAGAAGCTGGGGCATAATAATACCCTAGGCATTCAAGGTCACCCTAGGCACCCTAGGTCAGTTCAGTAACCAAAAAACGACAAATCTCACTTTCACTGTTACTTTCCCTTGGCCTCTACACAGAACTATCCTCACCCTCCCACACTCTGCCATCTTTAAACAAAGTAGTACTTCAAGACAAGGTCCACTGGGTTTTTACTGGTATGACTGGTCCAGCCTTCTCTAGCCTTAGGAGCCTTGAACACCTTCAGCCCACAGAGCTGCTCCTCTTTGCTGACAGGAACTTGGAATTCACAGATGCTGGGAGGTAGAAAGAGGCCTGCTCTTACCCAGAGTTCAGCAGCTGAGGGATAGAAGCAGCCAGAAGCACGCACCAGAAGCTTCCCTACTCAGTCTTCCTCCATGCCCTCCTCAAGCCACTTTAAATAGTGCACATCTCCTTGGTCCATGGGAAGACTGAAGACCTCTGGGATTTCAAAAGGATGCACCAACCTTTGGAAAGAAGGGAGAGCTCTGTGAATCAACCCATGTGATACGATCCAACTAGCCAGCCTCCTGAAAGGCCCTTTGAAATCTGCGACAGTCTACCTGGCTAGTGCCATAGGCCACCATTCCTGAGCCCATGTTTCTTAGCTGTCAACAAGCTAAGCTGGATCAGGTGGCTTTAGAGTCTCACAGACATAGTTCAAATTCTAAATTTCCTTACTAGCTGTAAGGACTATGGACGAGTCACTTCATTTTCTAGGGATAAAAATAATACCTATGTAATTAGATTGCTGAAGACTAAATAAGACAAGGTATATAAAGCACTTACCTAGTCCACCAACTGGCACTGCACACATTCTATTAGATGTTAGCCTCTGTTTTCATTAGTCTCCTATACACACTGTTCTAAATTCCCTCCCACAATTCCTCTGTATTCTTCCCCACATAGAAAGTTCTTCTTGCTCCTGCTGATCAATCAAAAGCCTTTCTCTCCCTCAAGGTCCAGCTCAACCACTAGCCTTTTCTAAGGGATCCTCACTGACCACTAGGCCACAGAAATCCCTCCCTTCTCTCCTGTTTGTTTCACCTGGCTCTTGTCACACAATACAAGTTCTCTTCACTTTCCAACTGAAGAAACCTGAGAACTTGGTTTCAGTTTCCCATTTGTCAAACAGGATAATAATTCTCTATGTCCTTTCTGCTGCTGAAAGAACCAATTTAAAGTTCTCATGACATAACTTGATTAACAAATCACAACATGGGTGTAGGTGCTTAAACATGTGGAGTAAGTTGGATAAATTTTATCCAGTTCCTGAGGATAATGAATTTTTTCATGGACATCTAGGTAACTGTTTTTTAAACAAACATAAAGAGGCCAAAGTGCATATTTTAATAAGTACTTTAGTAGTAAGAGCTTTAGTAGTAAAGCATCATTTCATATGTATACCTCACATATTAATTCCGAAACACATGACTATGATCACCATTTCAAAGACAAGACAGCGGAGGCACAAAAAGTATTGATATTCTGCATGTATTTATGGTACAACTAGCCAGTGGGAAGCCACATTTCAACATTAGGAGGTTAAGCTCTGGAGTTCTCACTCTTAACCCTGAAGCTGTCCCTGATGCGTTAAGTTATTTCTTGACAGTGTAGGTTCTACCCAAGATGTCTTACTCCCTCAACTTTGTTGAGATGGTAACATAAGGGCCTTCTCTATAGCAACATTTGAGACTTAGCTATAGCCTTATAGCCACAGATTCCTAGTTGTCTAAAAAGTGAAGGGAAACAATTTTATCATCCAAATAGGTGGTTCACATCTTTGGCTGCACATTTGAGTCAACCTGGGGTGCTTTTTAACAGTACCATACTAGCTGGGTACAACAGCATGCACCTGTAGGACCAGTTGAGGCAGGAGGATCACTTGAGCCAGAAGTTCCAACACCAGCTTCGGCAACATAGCAAGACCCCGTCTCAAAACTAACAACAATAATAATATCATACTTTGTTCCCATCCTAAACAAATTTAAAGTGGTAGTTTGAAAAATACCACTGGTTTAGACTATGGGAATTCCTGGAGAATATTACTAAGATGTAGTTTGATTCAATAGGTTTGGAGTGACCATGAGTTTCTGCATTTCTAGCAAGTGTCCAGTGATATCAATCCTAAAACTTACACTTTGAATGATATAGGGTTATACCACTGGTTCTAAAAGTGAGGTCCACTAACCTCTAGGGGTCTCCAAGACTCTTCCTTCCATGGGGTCTAAGAAGTCAAAACTATTTATATAATAACACTAATTTGTCTTTCATCTTTTTACTATGTCAATGTTTGTGACAGTGGTGCAAAAGCAATGCTGGGTAAAATTACCTGCATGTTTACATATATCAAGCAGTGGCACCAAACCACACTATCATTGTACTCTTCACACTTGCATTTTTTAAAAAAAATATTTATTTTTAAGTTTTAGGTTGACACAATATCTTTATTTTATATTTATGTGGTGCTGAGGATCGAACCCAGTGCCTCTTACATGCTAGGCATGCACTCTCCCACTGAGCCACAACCCCAGCCCTCACACCCGCATTTTTAAAAAGTCAGACATTTTTGAAGTGGTAAAAATTACTTTTTTTGAATTATTTTTGACCTTTGAATACATGTCTTTTTAATATTCTGAATGGCAAAACAGGAAGTACACATAGGCATTTCTGTTGTGTACCTAGGTTCAATAGTCATTGAAAACAATCTGAGTCACAAGCTAAACTAGACATGGTTTTTTTTTTTTTTTGGTACTGGGGATTGAACCCAGGGGCATTTAACTACTGAGCCACATCCCCAGCCCTTTTTTATTTTGAGACAGGGCATTGTGAAGTTGCTAAGTCTGGCTTTGAACTAGCAATCCTCCTGCCTCAGTTTCCTGAGCTGCTGGGATTTTAAGCATGTACCACCATGCCCAGCTAGACATGCTTTTTTTCTTTTTCTTTTCTTTTTTTTTGCATAACATTTTTGCTTTCAAACCTGAATAACTGTAATTTGTCTGTCATTTTTACAAACTATAACTGAAATCTTGAGTATTAGGAAGACATTTCCTCAAATAGAAACAAAGTGAACCCAATACTCAAATGAAGACAATTTATATGACTTATTAACATTAATAAAATTATGTTCTAAGACAAAATTAGAATTTTGAAAAATATGAATTCATTACTGTAAGCTTAAAATTGTCCCAATACTTAAAGGTGCTCCTTTTTTTTAATATTTATTTTTTAGTTGTACACAATGCCTTTATTTTGTTTACTTATTTTTATGTGGTGCTGAGGATCAAACCCAGGGCCTCGCACATGCTAGGAAAGCACTCTACCGCTGAGCCACAATCCCAGACCACTTAAAGCTGCTTCTTGAGGAGATCTAGCTATCTTACTAAACCAGATTTTGCAAAAATGTTAAAGGTTTTCACATGAGACTTTTTTTTCTTTTTTAAATGCAGTCCTAGGGATCAAACCCAGGGCCTCAGGCATGCAGGCAAGCTCTCTACCACTGAGCTACACCCCAGCCAGAAATGTTTTTTCTTGACACATGTTGACATCTGCCACCTCATTGTTTTCCCCAACTGGCTACATGAGGAACCACCCCAGGACAATTCTGTAGACACTTCTATATCTTTTCTCCTCCAAGTTCATCTTCAGTTCTTTTATTTTTCCCACTAGTTTTTGGCTTTGGAAACTATGATTGCTTTCTATAAAATGCATGTATAGGACTAGGATAAGGGGAAGTCCAGTGGTAGAGTGCTTGCCTAGCATGTAGGAGCCCTGGGTTCCAACTCTAGCACTAAAATAAATAGCACTATTTGTGTTAATATATAATGGTTTACTACTGTTATTTTTAATGACCTAAAACATTTTAAAAACTGCTCAGCTTTAATGTTTAAAACAGTTAACTTTTATTTTTTAAGAGAACAGACACAAAATTTATTAACATTCTGAAACATGAAAATCATACACCATGTCTGAAATTTAGAAGTGGAAGCTTCTAAACCTTTTCTCAGAGGGGGAAGGGAGATAGGCATGTGTATATATGATTATTAAGGAAATGAATGGACCCTGGAGACAGAAATTAGTTTGTAAAATGATGCTCTCAAAATAGTTAATTTTTTTTTTATTAACCCACAACAAAGCTCTTTTTGGTCTAAGTAACTTTTAAAAGTGTGAAGGTTCTGAGACCAATATTTTGAGATCCACTGATTTAAACTATCTCATTCTAGCTCCCTATTTTATAGAAAATCTATGATTCAGAAAGAGACAGGGACTTGCTCAGAGTTATATGGGAAGTTGATGGCTAGGTTGCAGATTTCCTGCTTCTGAAGCTCACTCATTTGGTCCCCAGAAGAAGAATTTGCCTGTCTGTCGTGAGAATGAGTGAAGAGATGCTAGTCTTACCTGATAAAGCCAGACAGCATGAGGACCTTGGAAGTTTTTGTCTTTATTAACTGTAAAGGAAGAAAAAAACCACTTCTTTAGGACTGAGCCCCAGCTTTGCCCTGCTCATTCACCTAGCCATTTAGTAGTTAGCATTCCTCCCAGGTCACCAGGTCATGTCAGGAGCTCACAGATGAACTTCATGCATCTGAAGTGAACAAGACCTTCAGTCAATTGATTTATGTTAATTTTCACTGGAACCTGGGAAAAGGTCTTAGTCTTACTCATTCTCTTACCCAGACCACCTTTTCTCCTATCCTTACTTACCAATAAGACCTCAGTGGCTTCTTCTATTTCTCCCTTCCAAAAAAAACTAGAAAAGAAAGCAAAACCAAATTGTGAAGCTCATAAAAGGAGCCCAGCGAATTAAATGTCAAACCTGGCCAGAATAAGTGACTTACTAAGAAAGAAGCTAAAATCTTTCTAAGTCCATATCAAGAAGTCTAGAGTTGGTCAAAGCCCCACAAATCATCTAGTTCCATCATTCTAATACATGCATCTAGCATCTTCCAGAACATTCCTGGAGGTGGGAGGTTTACCATCTCTTGAAGAAGTCCCTCGAACTTAAAGGTTTTCACATGAGACTTTTTTTTTTTCTTTTTTAAATGCAGTCCTAGGGATCAAACCAGGGCTCCAGGCATGCAGGCAAGCTCTCTACTAGCCAGAAATGTTTTCTCTTGACACATGTTGACATCTGCCTCATTGTTTTCCCCAATTGGCTACATGAGGAACCACCCCAGGACAATTCTGTAGATACTTCTATATCTTTTCTCCTCCAAGTTCATCTCTGGTTCTTTCTATGTTTATCCTATATTCATGGCTTCCAGTCCCCTCCCCAACCCTTTGACTAGTGTTGCTATGATCACTGACTTTCAAAGCTGAGTGCCCATGAATGGATGAATGAAAAAATTCAGAAGGCTTCAGGAGAATTAAACCTTGTAAGATACACACACTTCTAGAAATGAAAAATAAAATCAGTGATGATGTTCAGAACAGAGTGTAAGAGCTGGGTACAGTGGCACACGCCTGTAATCCCAGCAGCTTGGGAGCTGAGGCAGAAGGATTGTGAGTTCAAAATCAGCCTCAGCAATTTAGTGAGACTCAGACATCACTTCATCAACTCCCTTATATAGAGACCCTGTCTCTATATAAAATATAAAAAAGGGCTGGGGTTGTGGCTTAGTGGATTCAATCCCTGGTACAAAAAAAAAAAAAAAAGGAGAGGAAAGAGAAGAAGAAAAGAGTTTAAGAACAGCATCATAGGGCTGGGATTGTGGCTCAGCGGTAGAGCGCTCACCTAGCACGGGCAGGGCCTGGGTTCGATCCTCAGTACCACATAAAAATAAAGGCATTGTGTTGTGTCCATATACACCTAAAAAAATAAATATTAAAAAAAAAGAACAGCATCATGGGAAAAGGGAGAGATTTAGCCTGAGATGTACATTGACCCAGGGTAAATCTAAGATGACCTAGGCCATGGGCCCTTCCCTGTCACAGCCTTGGTAAATATAAGAATTCTAAGCTGATATTCTATTCTGGTTACAAAACACTTATTTCCAGACTGGATGAACAGTGAATCACCTATAACATTTTTTTTTTTTAATGCTTAGAATTGAACCCAGGGCCTTGCACATGTAGGCAAATGCTCTACTACTGATCTACCTCCCTAACCCTTGTTCTGCTTTTTAAAGATTCAAAGGCCTGGGCCCACCCACTAACTGAACAGATCTAATCTGGAGTTCAGGGAATTGACATTACAGCCAAATTTGGGAGCCACTGCTATAGATGATGTGAACAATAACAGAGTAACGTTACTTTTTCCTTCTCTCTCTATAAACAGCATATTTTTGCTTTCCTTGGATGAGATAAACTACTTGATTGATCTCCTCTGAATATAAGTCAACTGTGAACCACTGACTAATTTAATACCTTTGAGTTATTCTTTGGTAATTCCCATTAGTTTAGTGCTCTTTCCACCAGCCAGGACCTGACCCTAAGATTCCCAATTCCCCTTTATTGGCCATAGCAAAACTCACAGTGAAGATGTCTTGGGCAAGATGTTCACAGAGGCAGCCAGTTTCTTATCTAGTATGCCCCTAAAGCAAAAAGAAAAGGTAGCGGTCACTAGAGCAAGTCCCAGGATCTAAAGAGAAAGGATGGGAACAGGGGTTCTTGGGAATTACCTTGGAAATCTAAATCTAAGTAGAAAATAATTTAGGATGTCCCTCCCCTGCTTTGGTTTAGTCCCCAGATTTCATGTGTTAGAAATTTTATCCTGTTAACAGTATTTGTGAGGCTCTTGGGAATTAATAGCAGCGTGGAAATGTGGGGCTGAAGCTGCTGCAGGATCCACTAGGGCAATGCCTAGTAGAGCCACAGGAGTTGGACTGCCACAGAGACCCGGGATTATAGAGCTATATGGCGGGCAAGTAAGAGCTATCAGCTTACCCAAGTGAGCTGAAGCTGTACTGAAGTGGAGGCTGGGCTGCACAAAGCCTCGGGTGCATTACCCCTGTCCCAATATATCCAGGAAGGGGAACATGCAATTATGGAAGATAGTTCTAGAGCCTTCAGATTTAATGCTGTTCATCCTGTTGGGTTTTGGACCTCCATGGAGCTGGTGACTCCTTTCTTTTTGCCTGACTTTTCTGTTTAGAATGGGAACATCTGTCCTATGGCCTGTTTCACCACTGCGCTGTAGAAGTGTGTAGCTCCTTTGATTTTTCAGGCCACAGTAGATTAAATTTGCCTCAGGCATGCTTTCAGTCTCACCCGAATCTGATTCAGATGAGAAAATGCACTTTGGTCTTTTGTATTATTTTTGGAACCAGTTAAAATTTGGGGGTTTATTGTATTTTGCATGTGAGGACATGGATATTGGGGGCTAGAGGCAGAAGTTATGGTTTCAGTGTGTCCCCAGAATTCCCTAAATCATGTTAGTGGATTTGGAGGTGGGGCTTTTAGGTGATTAGGATTACCTGAGGTCATGAGGATGGCACCATCATGAGGGCATAGGTGGCATTATAAGAAAAGGGAGAGAGACCAACCTAGCATACTTGCTCTGTATTACCATGTGATGTTCTCTGCCATATTATAAAGCAGGAAGTAGGCCCTCACTAGATATCAGCACCATACTCTTGGAGTTCCTAGCCTCCAGGACCATAATCTAGATAAACCTTTATTGTTTATAAATAACCCAGCTTGTGGTATTCAGTTACTGCCACAGAAAACAGACTCAGACATCACTTCATCACCTCCCTTCAGAACAGTCCATAAACAGCATGCATAGAACCTCTGAAGACAGAGCTGTTTCTATGTACTTTTCTGGGTGAGAAGAAAGCAGCTATGGGAAGGAAGTTTTAAGGAGAGGCCCAGTCTGTCTGGGGTCTGGGTAGTAATTAACATTGGACCTAAAGAAGATCTGAATTCCATTTCCAGCCCTGCTGTAAGATGGCTATGGGACATTAAGTAAGTTCTTTCTTTCTGTCCCTTTCCTGCTTTGGGGAAATAAGCAACCTGACCTGCTATACAACAAGACTGGTTTGGCCAGTGGTTTTCAACCTTTCCTATTCCCAATAATTTCTCTTATTATGCTACCTCTACCTTTAACCACCAAAGATAATCTAGCTGAGACACTAAATGCTTCTGACTGTAAATACCCATGTGACCACACAAAACTAATACAATTCCAAGCAAAAGCAAAAAGCAAAAAAATAAAGCATCATGTTTTGGCAAATATAGGACCTTTTCATCTTTCTTTCTTTTTTAAAGGAAACCAAGGGAACCTCACCTCTGTTCTCTGAAGTGCTTGGACCGAGCCAAACAAACCTTATCTGAGCCCTGCTCACTGATTCCTCTTTCCCTCAGCCATTACCAAGAGAACTGACCTCTTTTCTTTTTCCTTGAGCCCCAAGCTGAAGAGTATTCTGTTTAAGGCTCCATATTCATGTGACATTATCACCACTGTTACTCTCTTGGAAAATTATCAACTGTAAGAAGAGACCTGTCACACAAACTTGTTCAAGCAACTGTTGTGAGCCTTGTTCACTCAACCACTCACTGCGAAATTACATTTCATTGGTTCTCCCGGTGTTAAGCAAATGCAAGGAGCAAGTTACACACCCATGGAAGATAATCACATTGCCTCAGAAGCCCTTTCCCAAATATGAACTCCTTAGCAACTAATAATAGCAACCTGTCTTTAATATGGAGGGGTTTTATACAAAAAGTCCCTAAAGAGCTGGGTCTGTGGCTCAGTGGTAGAGCGCTCGCTTAGCATGTGTGAGGCCCTGGGTTCGATCCTAAGCACCACTTAAAATAAATAAATAAATAAAATAAAAGTCCTATGTCAAACTACAACTAAAATAAATAAATAAATAAATAAATATATCTCCCTAGAGCATTATAAAACAGAGTAGGGAAGAAGAGAGGCTGACTGAATTCAATTTTAAAACAGACACACAAACCCTCAAGACCAGTAGAGAGACACACATGGGGAGCTCAGGATTTAGGAAGCAGAAGGGAGAAGTGCAGAGGTCACACAGGGTAGTGGCTCAAAGAGCAGATACATGTTGGTCCTCATGACATTTTTAAAAATCTTGACATTGGGGGCTGGGGATGTGGCTTAAGCGGTAGCGCGCTCGCCTGGCATGCGTGCGGCCCGGGTTCGATCCTCAGCACCACATACAAAGATGTTGTGTCCGCCGAGAACTAAAAAATAAATATTTAAAAAAAAAAAAATCTTGACATTGGCCAGGTGCAGTGGCACACACCTGTAATCCCAGCAGCTCAGGAAGTTGAGATAAGATGATCACAAGTTTCAAAGCCAGCCTCAGCAACTCAGTGAGCCCCTGTCTCTAAATAAAATACAAAATAGGGCTGGGGATGTGGCTCAGTGGTCAAGTGCCCGAGTTCAATCTTGGGTACCCCCCCAAAAAAAATCTTGGCTTTATTAACCAATATTTAATATAGAATGTATTTCACACCCCAAACAACTCAGATTATCTAGCTTCTAGCAAAAAGAAAAAAGTGAATCTTCCAATATTGGTCCTGCAGGTCAAATTTAGCCACGCTAGAGCTGAGCAGCAGCTGCTTCCTTGAGGCATGAAATACTCTTCTCAGGTCAACACAGTTCCATTGCTCTTTCCTCCCAAAGCCTAGGAAGCACCATCACTATACACCAGCCCACTTCTCATTTACCTGATTATAGGAATTTTCTTTCTTTGTTTCTTGGTTTTTTTTTTTTTTTTTTGGTACCAAGGATTGAACTCAGGGCACTTAACCATTGAGCCACATCCCCAACCCATTTTTGCATTTTACTTAGAAATGGGATCACAATGAGTTGCTTAGGGCCTTGTTAAATTGCTGAGGCTGGCTTTGAACTCGTGATCCTCTTTCCTCAGCCTCCCAAGCCGCTAGAATTACAGGCATGTGTCACTGGACTAGTTTTAGTCTACTATTAACTACAAGAAGGCTGAGTTGTAAAGCAAGAAGAAAAGGAACACAGAGCCACGGCCATTACTTCTCAGCCTCACTAACGCTCTTTAACCTGTATCTATAAACAGAAGGGGGAAAATTCAGATATAATAAACATTTTCTGAGCACCTACTATATTTACGGGGTATGCACTGTTTATATTTCATCTCATTTAATCTTCACCACCACTCTGTGAGATAGATGGCATAATGCCGTTTTATAATTTAGAAAACTGATGCTTCAAGAAGGGAATCAGATGTGACTTGGCTGTACATACTTGCCTACCATGCTCAAGGACCTGGGTTTGATGCCTAGCACTGCCAAAAAAAAGAAGAGGAGGAAAAGGAAGAAGTGGAAGAAGAGACACAGCTCGGCCAAGATCGCATACATAGTAAATGGCATATTCACATTGAAACCCTGGCCTAGTCCAGTATTCTTTCTAGTATGTCACAGCTGCTTCTAGAAAACAGCCAAATACTTGAAATGACCTCCTCCCCTTACTTATGAACAAAGAGAGGTGGGTCAGCAATTTGGAGACTTAGATTACAAACCTGCAGGGTTCCACAACTCTCTTAACGCCTTCAGCAAACCACCTCTCTCTGGGCCTCAGATCCCTTTTATGCCCTCGTGCACCACTTGACATTTTTAGACCCTGCAGCAGCATCAGTTGGGGGATCATTTGGCCATGCTCCTTGTATCACCCCAAGCAGACAGCTATAGAGTTCATTGGACAGGCAGGTTTGTGAGAAGCAAGAGAAGGGCCCAAATTAGTCCCCCTCGAGCTTCTTAGAGCTTCCCAAGTCTTCTGGGGCAGCACCTTAGCCCCTGCACTATACCTGGCAATGTCTCTAGCAATTTGCTCGTTGGGACAGTTGACAAAGACGATGGAGTGTGTGCCAGAGATATAGCTGCCGGTGATGGCTGAGTGAAGCTGTAGGCTAAGGGTCCTGAGCATGGGGTACATCAGAAAAGAAGTTGCCAGGATCTACACAGTGGAAAAGAAAAGCACAGGTCAGTGACTCCCATCTCCAGCAGACTAGAACCAAGGCTGATATAATTTTTTCATCCCCCAACCCCATCTATAAATAACCCCTGAAATCTACATTGAATTTTCATATTTTCCTCTGCATATTTTAGATGAGAAAGAAAATGGAGGCTCACAATTCAAAAAACTTTTTCAAAATCATATAGCTTTAATTGGTGAAGCCAGGATTTGGACTCAAGCCTGGATGACTTCAAATCCTTTTTTATTGTGCAAAACTCCTATTGCTGGTGACACTAACTGGCATCCACTGAACTGCCATCATCATTATGTGAAGATTATTATGAATGATAAACTCTTAAATCTATTGATTTTCAAGGAGTAATTTCACCTGCGTTCATTTGTATATGCATTAGGGAATGTCAGACAATCTAGTGCAAAAGGTAGGCTTGTGAACAGATCAATTCTGAAACAATGTAACCTGGGCTGCTGTGCTGAGAGGACCAAGAGGAAAGCTGTGCTAGAAGGAGCAGAAAAAAAGCTTTGAAGAGAAGGAATGAGGTAGGACTGAAAAGAAGAAGTCATCTGAGTTGGATCTGAAATAAGTAGGATTATAAGAGGGTGCTCTAAGCAAATGATAATATGTACAAACTCAAGAGGTACAAGGGACAGATGAAATATCTAGTCTGTACCAGATTTGCATGGGATAGTAAGAGTAGATCATGCAATTTCCCTTCTCTCTCACTTGAATCAAAATGTGAAATATGATATATCAAGAACTATGTAATGTTTTGAACAACCAACAATAAAAAAAAAAGAGTAGATCAGAGAAAATGAGGTTGGCTAGAATTATACAGAAAAGGGTCAGGGCACAGAGTTGGGGGTTTGCACTCAGGTGACTAAGTGCTTTTAGAGGTTTTTAAAGTAAGACAATAATAATATGGCCAAGCCAAGTAGCATTATAAAAGGGCTAGGAATGGGGAATGATCAGAAGGCAGCCTACTTAGCCATTTTAGTAACCCAAGAAAAAGACATTGAGATCCTGAACTGGGGGTTGGGATTGTGGCTCAGCAGTAGAGCGCTCGCCTAGCATGCACAGGGGCCCTGGGTTCAATCCTCAGCACCACATAAAAATAAATGAATGGAATAAAGGAACTGTATCCAACTACAATTAAAAAAATAAATATTAAAAAAAAATTCCTATAAAAAAATCCTGGACTAAGGTGGCACTGACCATGTGAGAGGAAAAGGCATTCAAGATATAACTTCTTTTTATTTTAATGACAAACATCCAAAATCAGGGGGAATAAAAAGAACTGGAGATCCCTTCTATTCCAGGATTCTCCGTTTGGTGGACATAATGGAGCTATCAATAGGGACACAGGCAACTTGCAAGGAGTCAGGCAGGGACTCAGCAAGGCTGAACAAGAACTGCTTCTCCTGCCTCCTAGGCCAGGGATCCGGCTTTGCTCAAATGAACCTCTATCCTCCCTTCTCATTTTACATTATCGCCTCTGTCCTAGCTCCTACTTGTTGGCAGGGCCTGAGTAGTGGTTTTATATTTTTAGCTGCAGTTTGACCTCAGGCCTTTTGGGTTGGGTTTTTCATTCCCTCCCACTATCTCCACAGTGCCTCAGTCTCATATTAGCTCTTTGAACCAAACCAGAAACCATGCAAGAAAAAAAGAACCAGGCTTTTCAAGGAAGCTTTTACTGTTATTTCTTTTTGACAACTCAATTGGACCATAGCAGGAAAAAATAGAAGGACTAGAGGGCAGGATTTAAATCCTAGTGCCAGTACAGATAGCTGTCTGTGGCCTGCCAAGTTTCTTCCTCTTCTTCTATAATCCTGATGTAAAAACTGGAGATTATGACATTCATGCTGCCTAACTCAAGAGCTGATAGGAGTTCAAACAAGATATGAAAAGCAATTTGTAATCACTAACTCAATAAAGGAAGGGCTGTGTTTAGTTTACCATTCTCCCCACCTCAGTTCCTGGCACACAGCAGGTTCTCAATAAATACTTGTGGATTAGTGAATTAGTAGCACACAAGTGAAATGCTGTTGGTAAGACTAAATAGCCTTGTGAAGAAGGCAAGGCTTCTGGGTCACCCACTATGAGCAGTGCTTTCAGAACACTGTATGGCATTCCAGCTACATGACTCTAAAGAAGCTTCCAGCACCACTCTAAAGAAAAGGAGCATTCAGCCAGGCATTGTGAGAGGCCTAGGCAAGTGGACTGCAAGTTCAAGTCCAGCCTGGGCCACTTATGAAGACCCTGTCTTTTAAAAAAAGAAGAAGAAGAAGAAGAAGAAAAGAAAAAAAAGACTGAGGAGGCAAAGTGCTCCTGGTGATCCCCAGTACCCCGCAAATAAATCAATAACCAAGAGGTAGATGGGCCCTCAGGTATTATCTAAGACAACCCTTAATTCAACAAATAAGAAAACCAAGGCAGAACATACAGAAACTCAGTGATAGACCAATTCTTGCCTCCAAGACCCCTGACTTCCATTCTGACTTTTATGCTTTGCAATAAGCAAGACTAAGAATGGATTCAGGGCATCCTTGAAGCTTTGTTTTATCCAGTGCTTCTCAACTCAGGGAGATTTTGCCCCTCTGTGTACATCTGGCAATGCTTAGAGACAATTCTGACTGTCATGACTAGGGAAGAGGTACCACTGTCATCTAGTGGGTGGAGACAAGGCTGCTGCTAAACCTCCTTCTGTTGTGCCATTCACAGAATACAATGAAATACAGAGTATTCCTACCACGTTACTATCTGGGAACAGACTATATGCCTGAGAAATGTTTATGGGCCACATCAGTTAAATATCAGAAGTAAGAAAGGTCAGTTTGGACCCCAAAGTGGACTATAATATTACAAAAAGTAACATGTTATGAGTGTGAAACCAGTGGAAAATATACATATCACAACATTCCCAAACAGAAACAGTTACTATCATAGGAAAAGAGTCACCATAAATTTTAAAGAAAAGCCTTTTTATTATAAAGCCTTCATATTTATGTCCTTTACTATACACCTTTTCATATTGATGTCTTTTTAAATATACCTTATCTAATTTAACATTCTTGTAAAATATTTTATGTACCCTTTCAGTAATTTCCTATTGTATTCAACCTTTCTCCTTTTTTTTGTCCTAGAATATGTACACAGCCTTTCAGAGGCTATGGTTGACTTTATAGCCTATGACAGGCAGAAGGGGCCTCACTAATCACCAAAGCCAGTGGCACTAAACCTGTAATCCAAGGAATCTGTAAATACCCTGAAGTCAAATGCAATATTGAGCTTATCTATACATTTTCCTGGAGTACAAATCCAGAGCTTTCAAAAAAACAATTCAATGAGATTTACTGTCCCCAAAAGTTAAGAGCCACTGATTTGTGCCAATTTTGACAGATAAGGAAATAATGATCAGTGAATGGGAGCAATCACTCCCAAAAGTAAGGGGTAAGCTGGGCTAGAACCCAGGGCTTCTAACCCTCTCCTAGGCTTTTTCCCCATTCTCACTTCCAACATCAATTTTAAGATATTTCAGATGAGAAAACACAGTCCCAGAAAAATTAGTCTATTATACAACAGGAAAAGGAAAGAATCTATCATGAAACACTTAAGTGGGACTTTATTAGCAGATACCTGTTGCCCTCCCCCACTCTAGCAAAGAAACAGCACACTCATCTGTCCCTAGAAGTCAGGAGTAAAGGTATGGTGGTAACCTTGAGAACCACCCCACTATCTCCAAAGGATCTTATCTACCTGCCCCCAACTAAAACCCCAGGACCAGTCAAGAGAAATATGCCTTCTTCTCCTCCATCCTTCTCCTTCCGTCCCCAGGCTAAAGGTTTAAGGATGAGAGGGTTTCACCCTGTAGACTAAGGACTCACCAGAAAGCATATGAGGACAGAGGGCCGCGAGTAGCCTGGCAGAGGGCACCGTGATCCCAGCCTGTCCATGGCTTTGTTGGTAATTTAGCACAAGGCAGTGGCAGTGAATTACAGTGTCAGGCGGGGTGCCGGCTGGTGGGCGGGCACTGAGGGCCTTATCTGCCCTTTCCCCACAAGGCCTCTGGTCTGCACACTGCACGCCCCGCCCCAGCCAGGCTGGCCAAAGACACTGTAGGAAACTGGGAAAGGGAGGTTATTTTCACTGGGCACACCTCTCCCTTGAAACTTACAACCTAAGCACTCAGACCTATAACTCTTGCAAAAATATATGCTATTTTCTCTTTCCATTCCAACAAACAAAAAGGCATGTCCCCAGAAACATACAGATAAAGACATAAACTTTCAGAAACCACAGCACACAAACACTAAAACACATACACAAAACTCTTCTCTAAAGAGCTTCAAACTACCTATAAACAAGGGAAGCACAGAATGTAACTCTTACACAATGTGGCCCCCATACTGCCCGCTCCTCCGAGGATCTCCCCTAATTCTCTTTGGCTTAGAATACTCTTGCCCACTTCTTCACTTCCTAATAAACTCATTCCTTTTCCCAGGCCAACTGCCCTGGGAGCCTTTCTCAGAGTCAATCTCAGTCCTCTTCTAAAGACACACTGCGCTTGTTTTGGAGAGTGGCACATAAAACCAGCAAGCCAAGGGCTGACTGTTGTCCCTTGGGAATGCAGAGTCCACTGCTACTACAGTTTCCAAATTTTTAATATGCCTTTTTATTATAATGCCTTCATATTTATGTCCTTTACTATACACCTTTTCATATGCTATTTTCTCTTTGCAGCTTTTCAATGTGAAATATCCCAGTTTTAAAATGATGGCAAGTTAGCACAGAGGAAAAGCTTTAGTGCACAGGTAAACTGTTTCAGGGAACCATTTTACATCTTAATTGTTCTGGTGGCAGTTACACAGGTATAAAAAAAATTCAACTGACACTTCAACAGGTGAATTCTATTGTATGTAAATAGTTTCTTACACAAAACAGGAAATACTGAAAAACAATTGAAAAAATTTTCAAAATGGAAGGAAAACAACAAAATCTTGTTTGCAGATTTGCAGTTCATAGCTTCCCTGTTTATTCTCATCACCTGTTCATCTGTCTCACTTGTTGAGACTACAATTTCCTTTTCTGGGGCTACTGGGAATTTAACCCAGGAGCACTTACCACTGAACCGCATGCCCAGCTCTTTTTATTTATTTATTTTTATATTTATTTTTTAGTTGTAGTTGGTCACAATACCTTTATTTCACTTATTTATTTTTATGTGGTACTGAGGATTGAACCCAGGGTCTCGAATGTTCGAGGCGAGCGCTCTACCGCTGAGCCACAACCCCAGCCACTCTCTTTATTTTTTGAGACAGGGTCTTGCTAACTTGCTGAGGCTGGCTTTGAACTTGAGATCCTCCTGTCTCAGCCTCCCAAACTGAGCCACTGGGATTACAAGTATGCACCACTATGCCTGGCTAAGACTACAAATTCTTTTATTTTTTTTTTTAATATTAATACCTTTACTTATTTTTATGTGGTGCTGAGGATCAAACAACTACAAATTCTTAAAGGCCTGATAGACTATGAAAATGTCTTGACAAAGTAGTTAATCATTTGTAATCCTAATCCTGTTGTTTACATTAGCTGTGCAGACTCGAGCAAGTTTCTTAACCTCTCTGGGTTTGAAGGGAGGTTTTTGATAAATGGAGGGCTAATAACTTCCTTCATATGTCTAGAGTGAGGATTAACAGATTAATGTTGAGTACTTTATAAAATGTATGATCATGTCACCATTTCAAAAAGAAACGGTCTCATGTCAACCACCAACACCTGTTGTAACTGAAAAATTTAACATATATGGTTAGAAGCTGAATGGTCCTAAGAAAACCTTTGTATTTTAAGCCCTCTAAAATAAACTGGGGCCATGATCTCTCATACTAATCATCCATAAGAATGGGTACTGTTAATGACCATTTACCTCAGATCCTCAGATATTTCCTGAGTTGATGTCCCAAGTTTAGAACAGGACTCTATACAGAATTTCCACTCAATATCTGTTGAATGACTAAGTGTTACAGATGTGTCTGGTGATTACAAAGATGATAGTAGTGATGAAGGTGATGTTGAGGTAATGAGAGAATAATAAGATGAAGTGTTATTTGGAAGAAGCAACCTCTGGATCCACTCTGTCCTTCAACTCAGACACCTCTACTCATTCCAAATTCAATTTCAAGGTTAGATTTTAGAACTCCAATTATAGCTTTGACAGTTTTTTCAGCTATTATCAAGTCTTAGTGCCACTGCCAGGAAGCTTTTTATTCTATACCTTTTCTCTTTCCTTCTCCTCCTCCCTATGGAATTGATTCAGGCTGACTTTGAGTAAGATTCAGACTTCCCCTGCAACACAGATACTACACCCATCCCTATCATTTACTTTGTTTATCTCTCCCTTATCACTTCCTTTATTGTTTATTTCTTCCTTCAGTTCCTTTAAGTTTCTTTTGCACCTCTCTATAGACATAACAGCAATTTACTATAATCTTTTTTGGGGGATTGCACTGGGATTAACTCAGGGCACTGGACCACTGAGCCACATCCCCAGCCCTTTTTTGTATTTTATTTAGAGACAGGGTCTCACTGAGTTGCTTAGTGCTTCGCTTTTGCTGGAGCTGGCTTTGAACTCACAATCCTCTTGCCTCAACCTCCCCAGCTGCTGGGATTACAGACATGCGCAATGGCAACCAGCTCTGAAATCTTTTTTAAATGTCAAACTTCAATCCAAGAAAGGATTTGTATCAACTGCAGAATCAATGAAATCTGAGGCATCATTTAAGACAGCAATTTCTTTAGATTTATCTTTACCTCTTGTTGGGGACTGGTCTTCTTCATCATCTATGGATATAGACTCTAAATTATTCCCAAAGATTGGAACTTTAGTAATTCATTATTTTCACTTTCCTTTATATTGATGCAGACGGATTTTTTTTTCAACTTCTTCATTAACTCTGGGAAAACATGCATACGCATTCAAAGAACATCCTTCCAATCTTTCCACTAAGCCTTATTAAAAACGGCTGTTTTTATATCATTCATCACTTCTTTTACCACTACTTCAGTAATGTGGCAATGTTGTCATGTTTCTTTTAAAGTAAGCTTTTTGTCAATGCAGTCAGCAAGGTGGTCAAACATAGGTTGATGTAATACCTCGGTTATACCATGATTCAAGGGCTGGAGAAAGCTGGTGTCTTCCAAGGAAAGAAACCCAATAACATCAAATAATGAGCAAATAATGAGTCCGGGTAACCAGGACTTTTTTTCCACAACTGGCAACACTCTGAATTCAAGTTTTTTGTGCCTTTTTTTTTTTTTCTGTTAAACGCACCTTAGGTTTCATGGATAATCTAATTATAAAAACCAATCCAAAAAGAAGGTATTGTAAAAAATCTTTTTCCAAAAGAAAAGTGGGATTAAGGTCTTTGTGAAGCAGCAATGTATTCATCATTTTGTCGCGGGAGACATTGACACACAAAATGAAGGAAATCCTGTCCTTAAGTTTCCTCTAAGCTTTCCAGATTATTGTCTATTTCCTTAAAAGTATGGGAAGGCATGCGTTTCCAAACTAGGCTCATCTCCTTGGTATTGAGGACCTGCTGAGGCACACTGCTTCTCTCTCTGATGAGTCGCTCCAATTGCTTGGACTGTTTGGGTGCCAATTCAGGATTCAACGGTTCTTCCTTCCCCTCAACTTTATATTTCACAGTATTTATTTTTAAACTTCTCAAACCATTCCTGGCTCGCAGGAAACATATCTGAACCGCCCTGACCACTGGTTTCCACCACATGCAATACAGATGCGTTTGGCCTGGGTGCAGAGGCCGCCTTCTGTGCTCTGCCCCTCCTCTCAAAAGGCTACCGAGGTCTCCATCTTCTTGGGGTGTACCTCACGGGAATCTTGGAGCAGTCGGGCAAAACACTCTCCATGCCGGCCCCAAACAGCCCTCGTGTTTTTCTCCATCACGAGTACTGTTGACTCGGCGACACCAAAAAGGCGCCCCATGATCGTATTACTCACGCCTCCGTCCAGCTTCTCGAGAATTTTCATCTTGCCTTCCGAGGCAGAACCCTCCGCCTCCTCCAGACAGGCGTGTGGCCCAGGATCTAAGTTCCCCCAAGGCCCAAAGCCGGGAGGCCTCCACAAAGGCGGCTCTTTCCAGTGCCAAAGGTCTGGTCTGGAGGCGGGGAGGCCATCTCCAGGCCGTCTGACTGCTGACAGGCCCTCATCCTCTCGGCTCCGCTGGCTGGGCAACCTACGAGGGTTCCACTCAGCCTGTTCACCAAGCTGCTGGGAAAAGCGGGAGGAGTAACTGAGCACAGTTCCTCGTGACGTCAGACCGAGGCGCTAGATCACTGGCAACCTGAGACGTTCCAGGAGTCTCGCGAGACTTGGCAGACCGAAAAGGAGCCTGCGTTCAACCCATCTCGCGAGGCTTGGAGAAGCGCCTCGGGAACCTGCTGGCCCGGCGGGCAGGAGCCGGAAAGATGGCGGCGCAGGCGCTGGCGCTGCTGAGGGAGGTGGCTCGGTTGGAAGCGCCCCTGGAGGAGCTGCGTGCGCTGCAATCGGTGATACAGGCGGTGCCGCTTAACGAGCTTCGAGAGCAAGCGGCGGAGCTGCGCCTGGGCCCGCTTTTCTCGCTGCTTAACGAGAACCATCGGTGAGAGAATCCCGGAGTGAGCACCCCCAAGTATGGAGATGGGTGGGTGGAAGCGAGGAGAGTGACTTTCCATGTTAGCCGAAATTGGAGAGAGGAAAGGATCTTGGGCTTGAAGACGAGAGATGGGACTCAAGTCCAGCCCCTGGGTGTGTTTTCTCCAGTCGTCTGGCCTCGTTCCCTTATCCATGAAGTAGGAATTGGAGGGAAAAAACAAGGTCTTCCACCTACAAAAACTCCACAACCATGTGTACGAATTCTTGTCTTCTCTTAAAAAAGGATCCTGTCCAGGGCTGGGTTTGTGACTCAGTGGTAGAGCGCTTGCTTAGCATGAGTGAGACATTGGGTTCGATCCTCAGCACCACATTTTAAAAATAAATAAATAAAATAGTTATGTCTAATTGCAACTAATATATATATATATTTTGAAAAAAAGGATCCTGATCTGGTAACCAACATTTTAGTTTCACACATTTTGAGTCATTTGTGTTATAGGATTTCAGGTATGTTTGCATAAAATGTGTTACATGTCCAGGGAATATTCATAACAGGTAGTGTGTAATAGCAGAAAACCCAGAAACAACCCAAATATTCATTAAAATGGAATATAAATTAATTATATGGTATTGCCATGTAACACTATGCAATTATTTAAAATATTATTTGTGGTGAAATTAAGTGCTAAGATTCTTGCTTTGCAACATGGAAGTCAGAGAAGATGGACTGTAGGTGTGGATATAGAAAGACCTCTCATAATAAGTCCAATGAGAAAAAAAATAGCAAAAGTTATGATCTCATTGTTTGTAATTTTAAAAAATAATTTAGACCCTACCACACACTTGCTTACCTTGTATAACATGGGAATGTCAATAGCAGAGATACAATAGAAACTTCTAATATGGAAGTAGAAGTTAAAATATTAGAACTGCAACTTTTACTTTTGATTTAGTACACATTTAATAGATGCCTATTGCAATTAAAAACACGGATAATTTTATCATTGAAAGGAGTTTTAAGATGTGATACAGGATTTAAAAGTGATCTTTCTACTTGAAAAGTTAATGAACTGCTGGATCACTTTGGATGATTTCAGAGGGCTTTCTTGGCTTTGACTTTGATTTCTCCCTTTATTAAATCCATTAGTTTCCATTATTAAGCTCTACCTGTGAAATAATCTCCTTTTTCTCTCTTCGAAGCTCATTCTCTCCCTCTTGCTAGGTCTGTTGTAGATACAATAGGTCTATTAGTCTTGATCCTCATTACCTCTTGTTTTCTTTTCTAACTATTCCTTCCCAACCTGTAGGCACAGGAAACTTCTCAGGTCAGCTCATATGTTTTCCATGGTTTCCCTTGCCTACAGTTTGAAATCATGATTTCTTAGTCTGATATTTGGATCCTTTCACAGTATATTTCCATCCTACTTTTCCAGTCTTATCTTTTTTTTTTCATTCCACTTACATTTCATCTGTCCCACCTACCGTGTGGCATTAATGTTCCTAGAGCATGACTTGCACTTTTCTAAC